CTTCTCTCTGCATTTATGCCTGTGCTCACTCTTGCTTCTCTGCTCTCATTCTCACTCTTACTCTCATCTGTGAGAATGAGAGTGAGAAAGTATCTGAGACTTCTTCTTCTTCTTTAAAGAACAGAGATAATGAGCTGAACTTATTCAGATAGATATAAGAAACTCTCTCTAAATAAGTGCAATATGATAAGAGAATAAGAAACTAATATTATTATATAGTAGTTCTTACTCTCACTTTTCTCTCTCTTTCTCAGGCTTCTTCTCTTCTCTGTTCTTGACAGAGAAAGAAGTTCTGTCAGAATTAACTAAGTAAGTAATATGAATATGAATGAGATATATGTGATAGAGAAAGAATCAATCACTGACATGTCACATTAGCTTTTTCTCTCTCTTCTCAGAGTCATTATAATTCTCTCTGCTCTTCTCACTCTTTCTACTCTCTACACTGATGAGCTTATCTCTCTCATTCTCTCAGTCATTCTCTGTGTTGAGCACTCTCTTCTCTTCACTGTCACTATCACTGCTAACAATGTCATATAATATCTCTCTCTCTCTCAACACTCTGTCTGTCAGCTGTGTCTGTTAAGAGCAGACACAGCTGACAAGTCAGTTAAGACAGAATTGAAATTGAATAATGAGTAAGAGCTCATCATTCTATTAGTCTCAGAAATCAGAGAAATGATGATCAGTCTCTTATAAGAAGTTTCAGTACTTCTCTTCACAGAAGTAGAGAATGTGAGACTATATTAATCAGATAATAAAGATAGAGCTGAGTAAGCAACTGCTGAGAAAGAATAGATATACTGTCTATTAAGAGAATAATGAGAAATGTTGAGTATACTCTGAGAAGAGAAGAGCTCAGATAGTTAAGTCTGAAGATTCTTATTCTCACTGCTGAGTTATTATATGTAAGAGTGAGTATAGCATTTTCAAATACAAGCTCAAGAATCTCAGTATATTCTCACTGACACAGTCATATCAGTTACTGTTAAAGACATTATCTTCTCCTTCACTGAGAAGCAGTACTCTGATAATTTAGATTCTTATTTTATTTATACTGCTCTGCTTTATGAAAAAGATTTTAAGTAGAACTCTAATAAATAAGTAATCTATATAGATAAATATATTGAAGATTCTATACAGATATTCTTTATAAGTATCAGTTATAAATGTAAATTAGTTAATATTGAAAAATGATATCTTAAAAATAAAATTTGTCAGATGTTAGTCATATTTATTTTAAATCTTGATATTTAATTGACTTATAAGTTAACAGAATAATACAGAAGTTCTATTATTAATATATTTATCAGTGAAAATGTAACATTGTATATTAAATAAAGATGAAGTAAGTAAATCTTCAGTATATTCATTAATTTTAGTTATTCTTCTTCAGAATTATTTTCAAAGTATCAGATAGATTATTTACAGTAGATAAAGATAGTGTATTTTTAATAAAAATAGAATCTTACTCTATATTATCACTGAATTTCTCAGAATAAGACTTAACTTCAGCATTAATAATTATATTATTTAAATTCAAGTTCATTGCAATTAACTGCTACTGAATTCATATTTAATTAAAATACTTAATCTTCTTCTTCAGATCTTTCACTTCAATTAAAAGTATATTCAAGAAGTCAAATATATATTTCTTTAATAGTAAAAGTAAATCTTAAGATGAGATATAATCATTCTTTAACAGACTTCTAGTAGTAGAGAATATCTTGAGCTTAGTAATAGCATTTATATATTTCTCAGTAAGTGAATACTTAAAGATAGACTTTAAAATCTATTATAGCTGATGAACTCATGTATTTAACAGACAGACTTAATCAAATATAAGATAGATATTCTTTATTGAATTTTTATAGTATTTCATCTTTAGCTTACAGCTATTATTAAGATGTTTCATATCTAGATCAATTACTTTAAAGAAGCTGAGTTTTTCAGATCAGTTGATAAGATCTACAGTTATAATTACTTAATATAGAGAAGAAGTTTTAACAGATTAAAGTATTTAAAAATAATAAAGTATCTCAGTGACATAATTATATTAATCAGTATTAAGAAAGAAGATAATCAGAGATGAAATGAAGTACTTAAGAAGTTCAATATTATCATACTTAACAGTATAGTATATTTGAATGAATAATTCACATTCTCAGAGAAGATGATATATGATACAGAATTCAATATCTTAAGTGAGCTAAGAGATTTAAGAGTTGATTTCATTTCAGATATTAAGAGTAAATGTTTTGATATATATATCTTTAATAAACTGAAGATACTGTGAAGAACTAAGCTATTATATAATAGAATTAATATCTTCTGAGTGCTCAAGATTGCTAACTGAATAATCTTAATATTATATAATAGTATAAAATAGAGTAAGACTTTGAGATATGAAGCTCTGAGAAATCACTGACTTAAGAAGATAATATTTTGAATTAATAATAGTCATAGAATTTCAGTTTTAATAAGTAAGATCAGACTGAATATAGTGATGAGTCTTCTCAGAGACTTCAGCTTCAAAATAAGTATAGATAATAATAAAGAGTAGATTTATTTAAATATGAAATTATTCAGAAATAGAATAAACTCAGTTATACTGTTCAAAGATATCTGTAGATTTTAACTACTTTATCTTGACTGACTGAATAAGTTTTATAATTAAAGTATCTTCATACACTGAAAAGAGATGAGTTAAAAATACTGTATAATCTCTTAATAAATTAAGAAAATTATTAAATATCTTCTTATAAACTCTCATAGTTCTTACAATAGTACTCTCATTTTCAAAAATAGTACTCAACTGCTGAAAATACATTCTATACACAGAAAGTGTATTAATAACAGACATTTAAGATAATAAATTATTTACAGTACTGAAAATACTTTTAATCTTATTATTATAAATCTTTTGAACAGTATCTAAAATAAGATATGATATTATTTACTTCTGAAGTGTATTATTATTATCTATTATATCAGATGCATCAATGATTTCTTACAGTATTAATAGTCTTATGAAATTATATATAATCTGAGTTAGATCAGTTTCTGAAATATTGAAGAAAATAATCACAGTAGTAGTAGTTATAGTAGTTATGAAATCATTGTATCTAATTATCTCATCTTATACAGTCTTCTTAAAGTTCATATTATCATAGACTATAATGACTTAAGAATCTTTAATAAGCTGCTGAAGTTTAATCTAATAGTAAGAATTAGTCAAGTGATTGACTCAGAAGTTAATAAAAGTTTAAAGAATATATCAGAAAATAACAGATATTATCAGAGATTACTAGAAGTTTAAGATATTAGATAGAAATATTAATAAGTTAAGAATATTAAGTTATATCTTCTCTTATTTAACAATTTTTATTATTAATCTATTTTCTATTATATAGCTGTGACAGAGTTCAAAGTCAGAAATAATTTCTATTACTTATTATTTTACTTCTGAGCTATAAAAATATACAGAGAGAATAGAGCTGAAGAAGTTTGAGTTTTTTAAGAAATAAGAGTAATATATAATACTTATAATAATAAATAGCTATTTAATAGCTGTTATTTTATCTGAGTCTCATTCATAGCTCTTTTAATTAATATATTTATTTTTTAGAACAGAAGTAAGTAGATTAAATCAGATTAGTATATTAGTCTGAATAATCTTAAAAACAGTCTGAAAGTTAATGATATTCAGATCAGAATTTTGATTGAATTTTATAAAGAAAAGAGTATTAATAAGATATTTCAGCTTCTATTTAAATAAAATAGTATAATATTAATTATCATTGAATATTTCTGTCTTGAAAAGTACTGAATATAGTATATTTTACTACTTTATAGAAGTACTGTATTATTAATAAGTTAAGATATTAGAACTCTGAATTTAAGTCTCTATAAAAATCTTTATTTTTCAACTATTTTACTGTAATATTCTAATAATATAAGATAATTTCAACTGTCTTTTCTGCTAGTTATAAGATATTATAGACAGATACTGTGAATCACAGTGATTTGATTATAAATAAGCTTATAAGATATTGATATTAGTATCAGTGATCTCAAATTCTGAAGAAGTATTAATAGATTCAAGCTCTGTTAAGTCACTATCTAATATATTATATTCATCATCTATATTATTAAAAGACTGTAGTGATTGTAGAGAGAATTCATCTTTAAGTAATAAAAAATATTAACTGAAGTATATCTGATATTAAGTATCTTAAGATTCAAAAGACATGCTGTCTTTTATCAATGATTGTAATATGATAAGAAGAGATAGTAAGTTGTAAAATAGTAGAGATAATAGCAGAATAACTGAGAATTTAAAAAATATTAGTTTAATAATAATTAGATAGATATTTAGAGTAGATGTATAATTCTGAAGTTAATTAAATATTTTATATAAGTGAAGTTGATTTTTTATATATAATGAAACTATTTCTTCTCAGACTCTCTATGAGATATTAGATTATAAGCATGTGTGAAGTCTCTTATTGATTCAGAAGTTAGCAGGACTTGACAGAAGTCTAAAGAAGTTTAATTAGTCACACTAATCTGAAAATATTGAGAAGAGAGGCTGAGTATGCTGAGATAAGCTGTACTTTTTAAAAAAAGTGAAGATCTGTACAAAAAGAATGAGTACACACATACACATCAAACAGGCCCTCATATCACATATGAAAAAGGATCGCGCGCGCACTCCCATTCTCATTCATCAAGATTTGTGTCCATTCATACTAGATAGTGCTATAGTGAATTATTTGACCGCGCTGGTATTCTCACTACAATATCATGCTGCCTTTTATCTTTATTCACTTATACAAAGCTGCTATTTCATTCTCTTCATGCTTCTGATACTGTATGAGAAGATTGCCAATGTCTCACTAAGCTCTATAGTGAATCTCTGAATCTTGACTCAAAGAATCAATATAGGTCTGAAGTTCATCTGCTGTATGAAGGCCTCCTGTGTATAGAGCGGCCCCGGGTATAGAGACCTCTGAGCATAGACACCCCTGAATATACATTCCCCTGAAGACTGGCCGGAGGATAGAGACTGTTTCAGGTTGAGAGCTCTTCACTGATATGGGTCATTATTTCATACAATCTCCAATGAGGAGATCTTGATTCTTAATACAACTCAGTATCATTAATGTGTGCTCCTTGTAACACTAGTATAAAATACCAATTTGACACATATCAATAGACTACCGTAGCAATAGATGTGGGTTCTTGATGCAGTCAGGTCACCCCACTCCAAAGAACTTATTTGTTGAATACCTTTCCCACTAGGTAGCCTTTTACCGTGTATGTATGATGTATGTACTGTACAATCTTACCAGGGGTGACGAAAATTAATTTGTATCCATGGGCAATGCGTCGGTCCCCTGGTATTCTGCCAAAACTCTTCTCTAATGTACTGTATAGATGTTAAGTTTGAAACAGTAAAAACACAGAAAAGAGCTGATTCATCTAGATGGGTTTTCCAACATACCACCTCCTACGGATGAGTATGAAGGGATAAATATATGGGAACATGGGGGAGCCGGGTCCAAAGGCAAACAAACAGAAAAACAACGCTCTTACGATCTTCATTTCGACCCCGGGCCTGTATATCCGTTATCCGGAAGGTATAAGTGTCGTACTGCGCCCTTCGCTGTCAACACCACCATACGGATCACACCGCCAGAACTGCCATCCCATTTTATTGCTTCTTGCAGTGAGGTCTTCACAAACTCGATCCCCTCCTCCTCAGTCATTCCCTCCCGCCACTTCGCATCACAGTAGCCGTAGATATACGTTGAGCCGGAACCACCAATGGCATATGATTGCTTGTGCAGAGAGCCACCCAGCGGTATCGAGTATACCTGTCCTCCATGTCGCGGGTCGTAGCCAGCGATGATGATTCCCGCACTAGATATTTAAACGACACGATTAGTATGGGCGAACAACTTTGAGATAGAAGACGGAAGGCGATAAAGAATATACTAAGCGGTAAAGGAAAATTTACTTACCTGAGCATGTCTTTATTGTCATAACAAAGCTCCTGGAACAACGCAGCAGCGGTTTGGGTTGTTGGGGGTTCTTGGTTGACGACACCGTACATTCCTAAGTGGTAACTAACAATATCGGCAATAGCTTGTGTATCCGCAGCAGATCCTGACCGACAGCACCAGATGGTATCGTGCACCTGTGTTAACTTATCTGTGACGCGATTCGCGATATAAGCTCCAGTAGTCGTCCGACTATCAGCCCCGAGAATAACGCCGTCCTTGAAGTTGATTGCCATGCTTTGCTCGAACTGCGATTAGTGTTTCAAAACATACGACTGCCGGTATATAGGTAGGACAAGAGCTCACATTGAGGTACCAAGACTATTATTTTACGAGAAGAAGGGTTGGTTAGCTAGCCTACGACCAGGACAATCGAGGGAAACGGAGGGCGGTATCCTTTACTTGACCTCTCCTTCCTTGAGATGATTCATGTCAATATGGATCCCATCTGTACCATCGTCAGTTCCAATTTCACAGAAAATAGTCGACCTCAATTCAACAACCACTAACCTTCTCCCAAACACCCAGTAACTCCATGAGCAACCATTGTAGCTAACCTGAATGTAGCAGGAGCTCGGAGTGGGAGACTGGCAAGAATAAAGTGTCAAGCGACGGGAAGCGTGGAGCTGGGAAGAGAGATAAAGAGGTCGATGAGGTCGTTCAATACCCGAGAAAGAGTTATGCGAGTTGAAATGAAGCTGTTGGCGAAATTTCTCTGAGCGCAGTCCTGATTGTCTGTGATGTTGAGAGGGAAAATGGTGATTGATGGTTATTACTTGAGGCAGCAAGGTCCAACGCGTGTCGCCCGATCGGGAATGGCCTTGGCACTTGGCTGATCCCCGGCTATTATAATTGGCTAACGCGCTTACTGCGGTAAACTCTACGGGAATCTCAACACCGGAGAGGATAGCCAGAAGAGGCGTTCAAAAATATCCAGTCTATTTTGCGTATCTTGAGGCGAGGTCATCGTCTTCCCTAATTATGTCTTGTTTGTGTACTGCGTAAACCGTAGTTGCATCCGTTTGCCTCCGCCTTCTCTTCCCAGATGCCTTGTGTGCGGCTGTTTTGGCCCGAGGTGACTTCCCAGACTGCCCCATGTTTACTAGGCCCGCCTCCCCACGCACCCCTGGCTAATCACGATTCCTACACCAAGCTCAACTGTCACTGAAACCAACCATATACGCTCCCCGGAGAGGGCGAGACAGATATGGCAGACTCCCCACCGCCACCACCATCCTGGAATTTTAGTACAATGGCTGGGAATGTGGTGCAGTTTCTCAGACTCCCGGTTCTGGCGTCGTCTGGCCTGGCCATTATCGCCAGTGGCATGCTCTATTTCAAGCAAAAGTAAATGACCGTCACATATCTACTTTCTTCGTTGCACGTTTAACTGACCACTGTTACTTCTATCTATCAAGCGAAATAATTTATCCTCGCAATGTTCCTCTTGGGTCACGCGCCGAAGTTCCTAAACCGTCGGAGTTTGGGATGAACGACTACGAGGACCTTCGAATCCCAACCCCTGACGGGGAATCTCTCGCTGCGCTGTTTATTCGCCCGTCTAATAAGCGCCATTCTAAGCCTAAAATAACCGTCCTCATGTTCCACGGTAATGCAGGAAATATCGGCCACCGTCTCCCCATCGCGCAGGTCTTGGAGCAGTCTCTGAACTGCAATATTTTCATGCTCGAATATCGCGGTTATGGCCAGTCGACAGGGACTCCGGATGAACAGGGCCTGAAAATTGACGCCCAAACAGGTTTGGATTATATACGGCAGCGTGCGGAGACGAGCGATACAAAAGTTCTAATCTACGGCCAGAGTATTGGTGGTGCGGTCGCGATCGATTTAACTGCGAAAAATCAACATCGAGGGGATATAGCAGGATTGATACTGGAGAACACGTTCTTGAGCGTTCAAAAGATGATCCCAAGGTATGAAAGCCATATAACCGAATCGAGTGACGATAACCTTTTTTATTTCATTTTTATTTTTTGTCTCCTCTAACGCGTTTTATGATATAATTCGCGTTTATTTGTTGGGGTATTAGGAGTGTTTGTTGCTAATAAATATAATCGTCTCAGTGTCTTCCCTGCTGCAAAATACGTTGTTCGCCTTTGTCACCAATACTGGGCTAGCGAGGATACGCTGCCCAAGATCACAAAGGTCCCGATCCTGTTCCTGAGTGGGCTCATGGATGAGATTGTCCCGTATGTCCCTCTTTCCCCCATTTCGGAGTAATGTTTACATTCACGAGGCCCGATATTCTAACGTATAGCCTGTTCTTAGCCCTGAGCATATGGCCCAGCTTTTTTCGATCTGCAAATCTAGTACAAAAGTCTGGCGAACTTTCCCAAATGGACAGCATAATGATACAGTTGCGGAACCGGGGTACTTCGACTATATCTACTCTTTTGTTGTGGATCACGTTCTAGATGATTGAGCTAGCCTAACTGCTCTTTTTAACGATCTGATATAAACGTGCGGCCATCCTGGAATGGACCTGAAATGGCAGTTACATACCGTCAAAGCTGTTCTGGGCGGAAGGGAATATTCGCTGGAACAAGGTGTAACAGACAATCCCGTAGCGAAAGGCACAGCTACTTTATCCGGACGAGGCACGAAAGACAAATGCTCAACAGCTTTCCAGTAATGCTATGTTGGATTGATCGAACCCCTTTTCTATGTCTAGCGCCCTTCCCTATGTGATATAAAAACACATATTGCCCCCCACATCGCTTCTTGTAATAATGGCATGATTTTTAGTTTATTTTTTGATCCTATCTCTATTTCTCTTTCCCATCGCATCCAATTTATGCCTGAATCCTCTTCTCATGTATGTCTAAGATACCCTTTCAAAAAAATTTCAAGGTTTTGCACGTCTCCAATATTGGCCCTCCCAACAACACAAAATATAAACTTGTCAGGGGGCAGTATAGTGCCACCTATCTACGGTTTTACAGATAGTCACTGGGATCAAATCGCATGCCTTTCCCATCGAAACACTAAGGTACCTAGCGACAGTTTGTATGCAGACACGAAGCCTGCACCGTTGTGCCTTTGGCCGAGGTTTTAAAAAGCTCATAGAACAGGCATAGGCTTGATCCCAAGCCACCGAGCCAAATAAGGCAGCTAGTAATCTAAACTTCTATTAAGAACTATGGTAAGAATATGTGCATTTACATACAGTCCCCCGCCCTCACGCTTAAGACCCAAGATATTTTGCACACCTGTAACTAAAAGAACAGGGGGGAGAATTCCTCCTCCTTATCTTACATAATTTCATTGTATATATATATATACATATATATATATAAAAAGGGGGGGGGATAATACTTCTATGAAAGGATGATTTAGATCTTCTCAGCCTCTTCCATCAAATCTTCCAGCTTGAATCCATTTACATCGCCCTGGGTAAACATTCTCACCAAGTCCGCCTTCTTCCCAGCCTGTTTTCCATCCACGCCCCAATCGTAAAATCGTTGTAGCCACAGCACCAATAGCTTTGCCTCGTCCACAGACACGCCACGATCCTGGACCACGCTCCCGTTCATAAGAATCAAGCCGGTGTTGTCTGCAAGGTCGAGATGGTGGGTGATGATTGTGTGCGGCTGCGAATATGCACCGTGGAGTTTGTACGAGGCTAGGTGTGTGAAAAGCACGGTGGACGTATGTGTATTTAGCGTGGGTGGAGAATCAACGGTTGTGGCCGTTGGCGGAGACGTTGTGGCGCTGGCAGGAGGGTGGAAGGCCCATTGCAGGAAATGAATATCTGCTCCCGTGCTTGCTGATTCAGTGGTGCCTGCTGGCGCAGTGCCGTCGTTCATGTCTTCCGGCTGGCCGCTATCCGCGGTACGGGGCAGTGGTAAAACAAACTGTGGATTCTCCCTGGCGGTGTCAACCATTCGCAGGTAAGTATCGATCGGGATAGCAGCGCAGATGGATCGTGGATTGGCAGCATGTCGGAGACGCCAGAGAGTTTCGATTTCTTTAGCAGGAAGCGTGAGGATTTTGGGAATGTCGAGGTAGGAGGACAAAGGTTTTATTCCGGGTGTTTGACTTTGCGAGATCGAAGGGTCTACGGTGGGCTGTGTAGACTTAGCAGTCGTCGGGGAGTGTGTTTCAGGGCATGGGCTAGCACTGGAGCTCTGTGGTGTGGATGGGACAGGTTGTGGGATCCTCTCTGCTTTCGTTTTCAGGTCTTTGATTTTATCTTGGTAGGCTTCCTGGAGAGACGAAATCGAAGAATACCCCTCCCTTTTAAGAGGCGGTGACATCGTGAGCGATCGTATACAGGAATTGGAATGGTCCCTCTCGCGAAAATACCATATCAGTTTGGGAGGTCTAAAACAGTTCACTTACTCTTTGGCCTTGCGATCTAACTTATCCTTGTACCTGTCAATCACTCGGTTTGAGTCATGATGGGTGGTTAAACACCGCACGTCGTGGACTTGGGCCCATCGCCGTTGAGCATGTGGGAGCAATGGCCTGCCACTGCGTATGATGTGTCTCGCAACCGGAGCTAGAAGCCATGCCATTGCAACAGATGATGTTCGGAAACGAGACACTGTATGTACAGCGGCGGGGAGAGTGGGAGCTCTGTTGCCCGCCGACTTGGAACGTTGGCGCACAGCAGTGTAATTGCCAAGCCTCGCCAAGACTGAGGCTCTGTTAGGGTTTAGCGGTGGATCCCTCAGATGTCATTATTAGGGCCTTGTGCGGTGCGTCCGTACTTTTTGAACGCAATAGTGGATCTCATTAAAAATAGTGTATTGTTGGCCGGATGCCCTGTATGTTGGTGATTGCTACACTGTTGGGGGTCCCGGGGGTTGATCGGCCCTTCTACCAGCAGCGCTGGTGGTGACTGAGCTCTTTTGCCCCAGTAGCCTACAGGTTATGAGACTGTTTAGCGTGAGCCCTGCTGTGGTCAACATGCATGGGTTCAATCCCAGGATGAACTTAAGAATATAAATCTCAAACAAATACCCTGCATATTTAAAACAGTGTCAAGAGACATTCTAGAAGTGTGTTCTAGAAGTGAGTCCTTGAGCCCTAGAAGTGAGTTTACTAAGAGAAGTCACTAAGAGAAGTCACTGAGAAAAGTCACTGAGAAAAGTACTGTACTCTGTAATAGCTGATTTGAGAGAGTGTGTTAAGAGTTCTAAGAGTTAATCAGCTCTTTTATCAGTAGTACTGATAGTGACTAAGCTCTTTTACCTTAGCAGTCTACATACATCTACTCTAAAAATATCTTAATGTATATAAGTCTCTGTATGTAAAGATATTACAGAGCTAAGCTTAAAATAGAAGACTTTATAAAATTAATTTTACAGATTATTATTAATAATAATAGAAGAGATAGAACTGTAAAAATAAATAAAGATTTATTTTTCAGAGTAAAAGTATTAGTTAACTAAGTAAGAAAAAAAAATAAAAAATATCTCACTCTGTCTGATCTCACTCTACTAGCTTATATATTATTATTAAAAATAGTGTAAGTAATTTAAAGAAGACTTATAATAGTTCTGAATTTAATCTTCAAAGCTGTATTTTTCTTACACAGAGTCTTATTTTCAATATAAAGAGTTAAAATCTTAATATTATAACTGTTAACTGACTTAATACTTACTCTCTGTTTTTTCAAGACTCTAGTTTCTGTATTTATAGTTATAGAGTACTTCTTGAATAAGCTCTTCTTTTTAACTTTTTTTTTTTTTTTATTCTTCTACTTCTTTTCTTTTACTTTAATATTCTTCTTACTAATATTAACTATGTATAACTATTAGTTTAATTGTATTAAAATTGATATATTTTATATTAAAAAGTGACTTACTTCTATAATAAAAGTAGTAACTTTCAGTGTTAGTATAATAACAACTGATACAATCTTTATAACACTGATATAGAGTATTAATACAGATAATAAAAGAGTGTTCTTCTCTAATATAGTAGCTACAGAGAACTATAAAAACAGTATTATGAAATTATAAAAGAAGAGTGTTATAATTTATATTAATTTTTATATTAATCTGATAACTCTCTTATAAGACTGACTTTTAAGTATAGAATAATTTAATAAGAGTCTGTAGCTTCTTTAATAGCTTTTCAGATATTCTTTCAGTTAAATAAGTTAATAGTTAACTCAATGATCTAGAATTTACAGATGCAGCAAAGACAGGTATAAATATAGATATAAAACTGAGAATGAGATTAATAGCTAATAGCTTAGCAGATTAAACAAGATTATTAAGAACTAAACTAACTGTCAGAATTGTAATTTTCATCATTTAAAAAATCTCACTTATAATGAATATATTTTAAGATGTTGTTTTCAGTTATAATAATAGTATTTATAATTTTTTAAACTTCTGATGAATTAATAGATGTTATATCTGCGGCTGTATCAAGACTCTGTTATAGTTTCACACAGCTTATTACTTCTCTGTGAATGATTTCATTCATTTCACAGAGTGTTTAAACCAGTTTTCAATCACTCTACAATATTATTCAGTTATAATATAGAAAGATCTGATTAATGAATATAAGAATCTCACTTCTATACAAGATCAGTAGATTACTCTTTCATAGCAGTGAGATACTGCTGAGGTATTACTTCAGCTATTTTCACTTATAGAATAGAAGAAAAGTATTCACTCATTATCTATATAGAATAGCTAGATGCTGGCTTCTAATTAAAGAAGTCAGTAATTTATTTTCCACTACTGAAATATATATAAGAGTTATTGCATTTCTTATATAATCTTCTTAGTATACTAAGTATTATATCTGTGATATTCTCATAATAACTCTGTAGCTCATGAGCTCACTATTCAAGCAAGATAATCAAGTTCATTTATACAGCTTCTTAAATAACTACTTCTATATAATACTGCTAACTAGTCACTGCTTCAGTTTCATTATATTACACTTTAAATTACTTAATCTGATTATAAGTTTGAATCAGTTAAGCTCTATTAATGAATTAATATAATCTTATACATCTGTGCTGAAACTGACCTGATCTCATTCTCTGAGAAAAACTTCATATTATTCTCTAGAGTGTGTACATCTCTACTCTGACAGAAATCCGAGATTTCTAAATCTACTGTATACTTTGACACAGACTCAGTAACTGCTCTATTATTATCACAGTCTCTACACTTCTACATCTATTATAGAGATAGAGAGATTAAGATTGAAGATTTTCTGAATTATAATAGAAATATATTATCTGAATTTCATAACTTTATCTTTACTTCTAAATAAAAATTCTATCTTAATCTGAGTCAGTTTAACACTTATAAGATATAAGTAATATATATTATTAATCTTCTTGAAGACATCTCTGCAACTACTTGAGTTATTCAGAAGAGAGAGCTTGAGTATATCAATACTGTTATAACTTGAAAAGAATTCAAGAACTTTCTACTGAATCAGATCAAAGATTACTACAATTACAGCTTTACAGCAGCACAGTGATTCAACTTATTATAGTAATAAAATAATAAGAATTCTTTTAATTTCAATATAAGATTTGAAGAATATTGAAAGAAATTAACCGATAATTTGAATTAATTAAAGATATAGCTTTATCTCACAAAGCTGACTTATAAGATACAGACTATGATATTACAGTATTAGAGTTTATTAATCAATTATACTGAGCTTGTTAACATGATTTTCTAAATCTATTTGAGTAATTAATACTCTGAGAAAAAGACTAACAAGATCTCTTCTAAGTAATTAATAATAAGATTTAAATAGTAATGTGACAGCTTCAGTATAGAGAATATAAAGAAGAATTTCAAGTATTCTAATTCTTTACTCACTGTGAAGAAATGTTAAAAAAGATTTAATAAGAATCTTTATTTTAACTGTGAAGCTAATAATTACTATACTAGTAATTAAAAGAAGCTGAAGAAGAAAAGAAACTGAGAAGACAGTATCTTAAAGTTAACTCTTCTTCTGATAAATTTATTCATGAAAGATAAAGAAGAGAAAGAAATAAAGAATTGATAATTTATATATCTCTGAGTTTATATTACAATTATAATAAATACTCTAAATGAAAAGATATCAGTGAGATATCTACTCAACTCTGAAATACTAACTTTGTATTCTATTTCTTTTCTTTAAT